TATTTGTCAATGAGATAGGCGACAGACTATTGTAAAGGTCACAAGCTCTTGAGAAGAAAAGGAATCACAGCAAAATCAATTATGCGGTATCACTCCTCCATGGCCTTATGTCCTCTTGCACCACTACTTCCATTCACATGGGAACAATTCCTTCCAACCTGTTTAGAGACCATTAAATTAACTGGAGGCTGAATAGTGAAATGGGACGTTTGGGGTGGGAATGAATTCAGCATAAGGCGTCTAAGCGTGCAGAGCAGATAATTAAAATAATTCAATTATCAGTGGCTTTCTTTAATATGAGTCATGTTGCATAAAGCATGACTGTAATATTGATCCATAATGGCTCATGTTCCCTGCCACTGCTCCCACTCGCTGTGTATGGGTGTGTTTCGATTGGATTTTAATCCTTGTTTGGCATGAGCTAATGAGATTTCAGAGATAGAAAATGAAGGCTTTCATTCCAAAATAATATGTTTCTATTTTGGCTATGGTTTGAAATGATCAAAATGTCAGCTCACTTGGGCGATGCTAATAACTGTTTTGGGATAAGCAGAGGTTTTAAAAAGACTAATATCTTTGGTAGAAGGCAAGACTCTGTAATTTACCAATGATGGCTCTTACATCCCTGTTTCCTGCATCCCTGCAATCTTCACTTCTTTGAGCTTCTTGTATAACAAACTGATTCCCCTCTCTTTCCAGCGTGCATTGTACAAGAGAAGTGTTGTCTAAGCAAATGACACATGCTTAGTTCTGCCTTCTCGTTAGCAGCTGCTATCAGCCAAAGGTGGCATCCATATCACTGTTATGTATTTTAACACAAGCAAACTGTGAAAAGGCTACAATAAAGACGTAGGTTGCTTCTTACATAATAATCCAAAAAGCACAGACTGCACATTTCAGCTCAGTGGGATCAGCTCCCGTTTAAAATTCTGATCCGCTTCAGCTCTGCTGCCCTCCCTTAAAAGAAAAAAAAAAAGACCGTGGATGTGTCATATCAGCAGAATTAATAACGAACACAACAGATGTAGAAAGTTATATTTACTTGCAAACGAAATCATACCCCAATCTGTCCAGGGCTTGCTTCAGCGTGAGGAATGATGCAGGTTTTTCAAGGTGGTTTGCAGATGATTGCAGTGTTGGTGTCAGAGAGAAGATTGTTATTCTGCGAGGCATTCTGGAGGGTCTCGGCTCAAAGAGCAGCCTGCGCCTGGAGCCTGGAGACTACTCTGTGTGTGTCTGTGTGTGTGTGCATGCGTGTAGTGAGACAAAGTGTCTGGGTTCACAGAAAACCAATCGAGACACCTGCCGGCTACCACTGCCAGCTGCTGATAAAACGGGGAAAAGAATGTGTTTGGCCTCCAGCACGTTTGCCTGCCTTTGAAAGGGCAGGAAAGGTTGGACGAATGGTTACCTCACCCATTTTTATTTGTAATGTTTTTGTCTGTTCTTAACACCTGACACCTTTTCTGCGCCAGGAAATGAACCCGAAGAAATAAAACACATTAAAAAGGCAGTTGTGCACTGTGATCACTTTTATTACAAAAAGGACGTCAGCTCCTGGCGAAAAACAGATCGAAACAAAAGGCTCCAGTACAGACAGGAAATAGCTGCTTGAGTAACTGACCCACAGCTACAACATCAGGATTAAAGCACTTCACAATTTATCATGCACGGAGAAGACACTCTGCAGGACGTACATGCGGTGGAAAAAAAGGGAGGGACAAAAAAACAAAAACACGCTACCTCAGCACAACATTGCAACATTTGCATTAGGTAGGAAAAGGCCACAGCAGATCACAAGAACGTCACATGTCGTCAAAAGGGTCACAGTTCACTTGCTGTCCCGGGCGGGAACATGACAGACCAGTAGCACAGCAAAATGTGTCATAGCTACACTGGCCCACAGTGCAAAACATGTTAGCTTTACAGTAAAGGCTGTAAAATTGTGAGATGCCTACAATATTGCCTTTTCTTTCTAGCAACATAAAATGGAAAATGGGGTTTTCTAGCATGTGTTGTCAAATGTCAACGTGTGATCTTTTAATGAATGTCGTCAAAATGTGACTGTAAAGAAAAAAAATGATGGAAAATATGAAGTAATCTAAAGGTTAAAAATGATCCTTCAGGACGAGTTTTTGCTTCAGTCTTCATTCTGTATTTAGCAGTGATTCATTGTGAAATGAAGATAACATAAAAGAAAATCTAAAGACTTAGGATTTAGAATTTTTTTTTTTTATTATTTTAAACGTATACATGTTAATAATTTTTGTATGCGTGACGTTGTTTGTGCAAAGTTTTTTTCAGATTGACCCACCCATTGAGGAGGTGGTCGTGACATACATATATATATATACACACACACACACATAAACTACGATCATTATAGTGAGATGTATAGTGCTGACACCAACGCAGAATTGTTAAAGTCTATAGTTCCTCAATTATCCACGTGAGACTGACTCCAAAATTTCGCCAGTTTCTTTAGACTCACATGTTAAAATACTCAGCTTTACAAAAGCGTGTTTACAGCCTCATACAAAAATGATTTTGGTCTCCATGTTAAATGTACATCCACTAAATAACTACTGTTTAAATTGCATTAAGGCACTCACATGAATAGCCATAGCTTGAGTGAGCTATGGTGTGTGTTTATACTGTTGGTGCCTTTTGGAGCATTTTTAATGAAGCTATTCTGACAAATATGGCTTTTTATGAACATAAATCGATATAAACAGGCAGTCTTAAAAAGTCTGTGCTCCAGTTTGGGGTAATATTTAGGTAGTATTTTGTTTATATTTTTTTATATGCTAGTACTATTTAGCAAGTACTGCATCTGTGGGATATACACTACTAACCAAGCCTTACTAAAGATGGTGATGGCCATAATGCCAGATGTCAGCGTGCTGGAAATGGAGGTTTATAAACTAATGGTTATGGTCACAGCAGCTACCTGCCTACATTTTATCATATACAGTCCATGGCAGGGTTAAGCAAGTCCAGGCCTCAAGTGCAGGTGTCCTGTGCGTTTTAGATATCACTCTGGGTCAACTTGAATCAAATGATTAGTTCATTACCAGGCCTCTGGAGAACTACAATACACGTTCAGGAGGTAATTTAGCAATTTAAATCAGCTGTGTTGGATCAAGGACACATCTAAAACCTACAGCACACCGGCACTTGAGGTGATTGTCAACTGAATATAAAACTTAATCTAAAACAATAAATAATAAAAAAGAAACTTTACAGTCATGTGATGTTGATGCAGGTTAACTGAAAACAATGGGCTTTAAAAAGGATTATAGGCAAATCAAAATCTTACAGCCTTTATTGTGAAACTGATATGTTTTGTGTTGTGAAACAATGCAGGAATTACACATTCTGAAGTAATACTTGGTTGGAAATAGATCAGGGAGTGCTCTATATATCTATATATATCTTTTTTTTTTAAACTTTAACAGGTTGTATGACATCTCTGTGAAGTGCAAAGACACCGTGGCATCGGCATCTCCAGTGTCTCAGCTACCTACAATACTGTAAACAATCTACACTATAAGGCGCACAGTTGAAAAGTTGCCCAACAAAAGAGCCACAACGTCAGTTCATAAAGGGTCTGATGTGAAAATGCATCGTCATCATCTTCATCATCAACACTCTGCAGATCTGGCATACCAACTGTCAATATACCAACTGCAGGCAGTAAAATGCTGTTTAAGTTTATTTAAATGGGCACGACACGCACGAAAAAAAACAAAAAACAGAAATATGAACCCATTTTCTTTCTTTTTCACATCAATCTTTTTTCAAATTAGGCACACGGTACAGCACAGTAAACTTTTTTTTTCTTCAATACCTCTTTTGGTTTTTGACATCTAAAGACGTGGACACTGAAGGCCCCTCCATGACTAAAAGGACAAATAGGGTTTTTTTGTTTCTTTTTTTTTTATCGCAAACACAGAACAGTTAGTCCCTCGCTGCTGGCATTTATCTGTCCAAACCTAAACATTAAAGGGAGCTTTCCGCTGCAGTTTCCTCCTTTGTGATTATTAAACCTGCTTTATGACTTCTGTATCAGTCTTTTTTTATGGCCTTTCCTTTCTGTGATGACACTAGAAGCTATCACAGGATATCCTATACAACATAAGGCATTAAATTCCTCTTCGCATGAATCATATCGCTCATAAATAGTCTTTGTGACCTTTCATCTCTGTGCATAAATAAGAAAAAAACACACATACAAATGAAAGCGCTAAAAAACCTTAACTATTCACTCTGCAAATACTTGTTCGCTGTTTTAAACACTGATTGTCTACATTATCAATAGAAATCTAAGGATGTAAGTAAACATGATAGGATGTAAACACTGTTAGTATCCAACTGGCTTGGATCTCAGAAGATATTTGACCCTGTATGACACGAGAAAACAGTCCCACACATGAGATGGTGGAGGAGCGAGGTAGTCCACAAGAGACTTAATGGAAGGGGAAAGGAGCTATGGGTGAA